GCACTCGGCGCTGGGCCGTGGAAGGCCTGGCTTACCTCACCTTTGATGCCGACGTAAAGGAGGAATTTGTGGAGGATGAGGCTGCTCTGAAGGCCCTGTTCCAGCTCAGCAAGGTAGCTCTGCGGGTTCCTGTTGTCAGTCAACCTAGGGCAGGACCTGGATGAGAGCTTGCCAGGCTTTGGCAGGTCTCACCAGTGTCCCTGGTGATGCAGGGCCAGCTAGCTGCTTTGTGTGGCCTTGGTGCCTACAGTGTCTGGGCGCACAGTTGCCCCGGAGGAGTTAAGAGCCGGGATTGTGAGCTCTGAGTCTGGGGTTGAGGCAGGTTCCCAGTGTCACCCTAAGTCCCAGGTGGGGCTGTGGGGGTGGGAGAGAGGCCGTGCTGCCCTGCTGAATGCCCTTCTACCCTGGCCAGTCCGAGGAGAGGCCAGTGCTCTTTGCAGTAGCCTCGGCTCTGGTCAACTGCACCAACAGCTACGACTATGAGGAGCCTGACCCCAAGATGGTGGAGCTGGCCAAGTACGCCAAGCAGCACGTTCCTGAGCAGCACCCTAAGGTATGGATGGGTACGCTAGGAGGGCCTAGGGGTACCTGCTATTAGCACAGTTGAGCAGGTGAGGAATCCCCAGCAGAAGGCTATCCCTTAAACTGGCTGTTTCCAAGCTGTGTCTTGGCTGTTTGTTTCCACACTCAGCAGACTCCGCTGTGAGAAGACTCCATATTTCCCTGTCTAGTACCCTAGGGGTTCCTCAGCTGCCTCCTTTCATAGGACAAACCAAGTTTCGTGCGGGCTCGTGTGAAGAAGCTGCTGGCAGCGGGGGTGGTGTCAGCCATGACGTGTATGGTGAAGACGGAGAGCCCTGTGCTGACGAACTCGTGTAGGGAGCTGCTCTCCAGGTCAGCCAGCCTGCCTCTTCTAACTCCCGTCTCCGCCTGCTGCATGCCTCGGGAGAGGGACCTGTGCTGTGGGAGTCCTAGAGCATTTGGTTGCCTTACTAGCTGAAGAATGGAATGCCTGCCTGCCAGAGCCTTGGACCCCACCCGCCCACCATGCCTTCTCCCTGCAGGGTCTTCTTGGCTTTGGTGGAAGAAGTGGAGGATCGAGGCACCGTGGTGGCCCAGGGAGGAGGCAAGGTAAGCTGCTTTCCGACTCCTTCCTGATCCTGAGCATCCACCTATAAAACATGACTCAGTGGCTGCTGGCCTCGGGGGACACTATTGGTGACCACAGGAACTGCCGGTGAGGTGACGCTCATGTGGACAGGTTCTGCGGAGGCCCTCAGTACTCTGGGCCCATAAAGGTCCTGAGTTTGCATCTTTTTCCCACTGTGGCCCCAGGGCCCAGCACAACCCGTGTTTAGCACTTAATAGGTGGTTGAGGAAGTGTTTGGGTGGTTTTATGGAGAGACCTCAGAGCGAGGAAGAGTCTGAGCACAGGGTATTCTCAGGACCAAGGAGAGAGTGAGTGGGTTGATGGCTTGGACCTTAGACTCCCAGGTCCAGGCTGGGCATTGACAGGGCTGGGGCTGTTCCGACAGGCTCTGCTCCCACTGGCCCTGGAAGGCACTGATGTTGGGCAGACAAAGGCAGCCCAGGCTCTTGCCAAACTTACCATCACCTCTAACCCGGAGATGACCTTTCCTGGTGAGCGGGTATGTGTCTCCTTGTTCCAATCATGACCTCTCCTGTTTCCTCCTTGTGCCCTGATAGCTCCAGCATGGGCTTCCCCTCGTGATCAACAGGAAAATGGCAATTTTGCTGAGTTCTGGGGTAGGGGACAGCTGTAGAGAGTGCCATTATCACAGGCGGGCTCCGTGCTGTGGATCAGTGGGGATGGGACGGGGTGGGGGTGGGTTGCTGCAGTGGACGCTCTGATAGGTGGGATGTTTCACAGATCTACGAAGTGGTTAGGCCCCTTGTCTCTCTGCTGCACCTCAACTGCTCAGGACTGCAGAACTTTGAGTCTCTCATGGCCCTAACGAATCTGGCAGGGATCAGCGAAAGGCTCAGGTAAGGTCCCAGGGGAGCTCGGCATAGGGATTGGGGTGAGTTCCAGTATGCACTCTACAGTTTGGAAAACAGCTCCTGGTCATCGTTTGTGCCTCACAATAACTCCGGTGTAACATACAGATGAAGAGGCATGCCGAGGGCGGTGCCAAGGTCGGTGCTGAGGAGGCCCAGGGTGAGAGCAGTGCTCTGAAGTCAGATTGCCTGGGGTTCAAGTCTAGCGCCCTAAACACAGTAGATAGAGAAGCCACAAGCAGTTAGGCTCCAAGGCCCCGACTGTGCCCTCCACTTCCCCCTCCTTATCCCCAGGCTGCTGACACTCACTGGCTCGCTGTATGACCCTAAGCAAGTCTTTAAGTCATTCTGCCTCAGTTTCTCCTCTGTGAGTTAGTTAAGTATCTAACCCATGAAGCAGTAGCACAGAGAGTTCCTTGAGAAAATGTATATAAAAGGCTCTAGCAAGCGCAACAGGGTGCAGCGGTTCATGCCAAGGGAGGCCAAGGGAGGAAGATTGCTGGGAATTCTAGGCCAGGCCAGGCTATAAACTGTCTCAAAAGCCCTCCCCTCCCCCCAAAGCCCTTAGTTCATAGGTACCTGCCCTAGCAGTAATCACAGTCAACACGCCTTAGCTGTTGTTACTAATTGTGACCTAGGCCACATTGCTCACTGCCCAGCCCAGTTTCCCCTTTGGCCAAATAGTCATGGTAGCCACGCCCACACTTTCACCGTGGAGTGAGGTGAGCATTAGGTAAGATAAGTCAAGCATCATGGGGTTGTGTTGAGTATTAGGTGAAATACTTCAAGCAGCTTGGTCAGGCTCAGTGCTGATGATTGGCGTTTGCGTCGCCGTTGTCACCACCGTCCTGCTCTGCTAATTGCCAGCATGTCTACCGAGCCTATGCTGTTCCAGCTGGGCCAGACGGCTAGGGAGCTCTGGAGCTGACAACTGAGAGAGGAAGGTCCTTGGACTTTGCTGGGGAGCAGCTCAGCTCAGAGCTCAGCCATGTGGGGGATAGGGTAGCAGGTTATGGATACGGAGATGCTGGTCCTGCAGACCCTGCCAACTCTGTCCTGCAGACAGAAGATCCTGAAGGAAAAGGCTGTGCCCATGATTGAGGGCTACATGTTCGAGGAGCACGAAATGATCCGCCGGGCAGCCACCGAGTGCATGTGTAACTTGGCCATGAGCAAAGAGGTGAGGGGTGGCCCAGGTGGTCCCCGTGACAGGGATGCGAAGGGCCCTGTACTTCTACTAGGCTTTGTGCCTTGGTGGCATGGTCTTTGCTTCCATCTGGTCACAGGTGCAGGATCTCTTTGAAGCCCAGGGCAACGACCGGTTGAAGCTGCTGGTTCTGTACAGTGGAGAGGATGACGAGCTGCTGCGGAGGGCTGCTGCCGGCGGCCTGGCAATGCTTACCTCCATGCGGCCCACACTCTGCAGCCGCATCCCACAAGTGGTAAGTGCCCGGCCCTGGTAGGGGAGGATGAGGGAAGTAGCAACTCCCTGCGTGGTGGCATTGCTGTTCTGTGCGGGGAGGTCCTGGCGTATAGATGCGTTTTCTACCAGGGTTGAGCCTGTTGCTGGGTCTTCACACCTGCCATTTCCCACAGACCACACACTGGCTGGAGATCTTGCAGGCCCTGCTTCTAAGCCCCAACCAAGAGCTCCAACACCGGGGTGCTGTGGTAGTGTTGAACATGGTGGAGGCCTCAAAGGAGATCGCCAGCACCCTGATGGAGAGCGAGGTGCTGGAGATCCTGTCAGTGTTGGCCAAGGGTGAGGAGAGCCCAGTCACCAGGGCCGCTGCAGCCTGCCTCAGGAAAGCAGTAGAATATAGACTCATCCAGCCCAACCGGGACGGAGAGTGAGGATCGGCCCCGGCCCACAGCTCACGCATCTGCCACCCACTGCAGCACTGAGAGCCAGGATAGAAGCAGCTTTGGCCAATGGGGCTGGAATGCTGGACCCTTGGCTCTTTTCCCCAGCTGCACTTTGGTGTTCTGTTCTGATAGATCACACACTACACAGCCCTGCCCAGCCAGCACTCAGAAGGGTCCTATATTTGTGAAGAGCTGGGAATGGGGAAGGTGCATCCTAGCTCAAGTCTGTGGACTATGGGCATCAAGAAGGGCACAGCAGCATCCTCGCTAGCCATGAGCACCACCAGAGCCTGCCAGCAGGCACACCGCTCTAATAAACTGTGTGGAACTGAAGTGTGTCTTTGTGCTGAGGGTGGGAGGCTCTGGGGCAGTAGCTGGGCACCAACAAGTGTGCTGTAGAGGATTGGCCTGCAAGAGAAGGAAGTCGGTGGTTTCCCACCTCAGCGCCCATTTATAGTTGAGACTGGGCCTCCATATGGGTAGCCAAGCTGACTTCACACTGACGATCCTGTCTCAGCCTTTAGAGTTGTAGGAATTACAAAGCGTTCTTTGTTAGCTCTGGTAGAAGGGTAAGCCTAAAGCCTAGGAAACTGATCAAATTCCAGTGCCCATGAGATAAACAGTTTTAGGGGAGAGACATATATGCTGGCCCCTGGATACATTTGTCGTGATAATTTGAGTTCTCCGTGATTTCTAGTCAGGCAGTGTTTGGCATTTGGGGCTGGTGAAAATCAATTTTTCTTTAGCTGTACCGGGTTGAAGAAGATTCGGCTAAACTAGGCGGCTGTGGCGCACGCCTTTAATCCCAGCACTCGGAAGGCAGAGGCAGGCAGATCTCTGTGAGTTCGAGACTAGTCTGGTCTACAAGAGCTAGTTCCAGGACAGGCTCCAGAGAAACCCTGTCTCAAAAAAAACAAAGAAAAAAAACAATAAAAAGATTTGACTCAAACAGGTTCCCCTTCTTGCGGAGGACGTCGATCTCTCAGAGGCGGGAAAGCTTAGGGCTCATTGGCTCAGTAGATGTAAACGACAGAGCCTGGGCCAATCGGCGAAAGCACTAATACTACCGCTTCCTGTCTGGGCTACGGTCCTGAACCACAACCTCCAAGCTCGAAGGGAAATGGCGGGCGTCAGGGCTTGGTCCTCACCTGCCGTTTCCCTCCGATCTTCATGAATATTCCTTCAGTGGTTCCACCGCGTCCTCTGGTGTCGGCGGTCACTGGAGGCTTCAGCCCACTCGCGGGAGCGCCTCGCACGGACTCACGGAGCATTCACAGGGACAGACAAGTAAGCCAGCGCTTGTGAGTACGTCAGGAAGCCCGCCCCATACGCGGTGTCGTCACCGCTCGCTCCTGCGATTGGCTCCGGAAAGGCTGCTGCATCCAATGACCGCCTTGCCTGGAGCGCGGCGCTTTAAACACGTTCTACCCCGCCGGTCCTTCCCCCGAGCTGAGCCCTGCAATTCCCTGGCCAGTTTCTTTCGAGATTTCCTGTTGGGTTCAGGGTATAGGGGCAAGGGTAAGGTCAAGAAAAGGTGAATACTTAATATTTTTTTTACAGTGGATTTGAGCCAAAAGTGGGAGACATAACCAGCTCCAGATAGTCCAACCGTCTCTCATTTGATAGAACCGTTGGCCAAAGCTCTGCTCACGGAACGATAGTGGGACAGACACTGATCGCCTCTGATTAGGAGAGTGGAATCCAGATGGTATCCGGTCACTATTTTACAGATAATGCAGCTGTAGCCCCTTTGAAGGCCAGACTCGCCTGTTTGCAATCAGCTTCTCGGGTTGCAACCTTAACCACCCATCCCGTAGCCCACGCCCCAGCCAGGTGGCCACCCACAGAGGGCTCTGTGAATATGGCCAAGGAACAGCATGGGACCTGGTTTGGCTTTGGTTTCTGCGGCTTTGGTCAAGTGCTGGGCTCTGGGGATGGGCGCCCTTCGGTGCACAGTCCCGAACCACTGGGTGCCAGTGAGGACGTTTGCCGAGTGAGTGCTAGCTGGAGCTACACCGCCCTGGTGACCAGTGAGTACCCTCACAACCCCACCTCCAGGCCTGTTCCCTGTACACTGCCTGCCCCGAAATACCGTGCACCTTTTGTCTGGCAACCTCGCTGCACCCCTCCCCGGGTCCTTGGTACGTGTCCCACCCCACTCTCTACCCATGTAGGTGGAGGCCGGGTGGAACTGTCAGGCTCTGTGAACAGCTCAGCAGATGGCTGCCGGGATGCGTGGGCTTCCGAGGGACTCCTGGTGGTGGTGTGTGACAAAGACGGGTCCTGCACAGAGCTGCGGGCCTGGGCGCCAGGCTCGGCACTGCAGGGGGAGCCCCTCTGGGTTCAGAACCTGGTTTCTGGGGCAGAGGACCTAGGGGAAGATGAACCCAGCAGCGAGACTAGGACGGGTACCCTACCGCTGCTGCCCAGTGCCCATGCCTACGTGAACCCGCAGCCCCCCTTCTGCCAGCCTTTGGCCCCAGAGCTGCGCGTGCGCCAGCTGGAGCTGGGTGCCGAGCATGTGCTGATGCTGTGTGAAGCCGGTCAGGTGTTCTCCTGGGGTGGAGGCAGGTGAGGACCAGCTGGATGTGATTTGGTGCAGCTCGAGGAGGTGGTCTCTTGCATGTACCCGTTGCTGATTAAGGACTCCCTTGATCAGGCACGGACAGTTGGGCCACGGGACGCTGGAGGCGGAGCTGGAGCCAAGGCTATTGGAAGCCCTGCAAGGCCTCCGGATGGCTGAGGTGGCTGCGGGTGGCTGGCACTCTGTGTGTGTGAGTGGTGAGTGACCTGGGGCTGTTCCCAAACAAGCTGGTGAACTGGTGGTCTCGGCCACTGCTTCCTCTTGTGGTTTTTGTTTTGTTTTGTGGGTGGTCTAGCCCAGGCCTCATTCCAAACTCAACCCAACCCAGTCATTCCTGACCCTCTAGTGTCTTCAGATTCGGCCCGTTGTCTCCACCACCCTCTTAGGCCTTGCCTGCTGGGGTTCTTATCGCTGTTACTGGATTCTCCTCCACTCCCACCCATCTGCTAGGCACCAAGGCTGCTTTCTAAAAATACTCCAGAAGTTATCCTGGGAACTGCTAAGAGACAGCTCAGCCAGAAAGAATGGACAAGGCTGCATATGCCCGTGATGGTACCCAGGAACTGAACCCAGGTCCTCTGGAAGAGCAGCCAGTGCTCTTGACCACTGAGCCATCTCTCCAGCCCCAGAAGCTTCTGATCTGTCTGATCTGTCCCCCCTATGTTCTCATGTGATTGCCCTAGGAGGCAGTGGGGTCCAACCTGGGCAGGAAGGCAGAGGACAGGACTGGAAACAGCCTAAAGGGAAGTTTTCACACCTAAGATTTAGGAGTTTGAGACCTCAGGCTTGCAAAAGAGGTTGAAGCATAGAGGTATCTTATCGAGCAAGGCTTCCTAGTTTACAATCTTTACCTTTGTCCTGGTGCTTAACTTCTGTTTCATCTGACTTCCAAGTGAGGATATTGTCATTTAAATACTTCTAGGGCTTTGTTATTGTATTTGGAAAGCGCATAAAACACCAGCACAGACTGAGCATTTTATAAATTACTGTTACTGAATGTTGCGGTCAGTCTCATTTAAGGCCAGCCTGGCCTCAAATGGACTCACCTTCAACTCTGTCTTCTTGCCTCTGCCTCCCAAGGAGTGTTAGTGACTAGTTGTGTCCTGATTAGTTTGTTTCCAACTTGGCACAAGCTAGAGCCAAGGGGAAAGTGAGACCTCAATTGAAATTGGCCATCATATTGTCCTAAAAGTAAGTCTGAGGGGGCATTTTCTGGACTGATGGTTGCTATGGGAGATCCGCACCTACCAGGGGCTGGGCCACCCCTGAGCAGATGGTTCTGGGTGCTATAAGAAAGCAAGGGTAGCGAGCCCTGACATCATTCCCCCGTGGCCTCTTCTTCAGTTCCTGCCTCCAGGTTCCAGCCCTGACTTCCCTGAATGATGGACTGTCTTACTAAACTTCCTGGGTTGCTTTTGGTCATGTTTTTTTTCCCCACAGCAATAGGAAGTGACTAAGACAGCACTATAGTAACTAGCTCCAGTCCTCACCTAATATAGAGCCTTGGTGCTACGAGAAGGAAGGCAAGAGAGAGGCAGAAGCCTACAGTAGGACCAGTGGAAGATGGGATTGAAAAAGGGCACAGGTGCCAGGCTGTGGTGGCACGTGCCTTTAATCCCAGCACCCGGGACCTGGGAGGCAGCCGCAGGTGGATCTTTGTAAGTTTAAGGCCAGCCCAGTCTACAGAATGAGTTCCAGGACAGTGGGGCTACACAGAGAAACCCTGTTTTGAAAAACAAAACAAGAAAGAAAGAAAAGAAATGAGTTAGCCGGGCGGTGGTGGCGCACGCCTTTAATCCCAGCACTCGGGAGGCAGAGGCAGGCGGATCTCTGTGAGTTCGAGACCAGCCTGGTCTACAAGAGATAGTTCCAGCCGGGCGGTGGTGGCACACGCCTTTAATCCCAGCACTCGGGAGGCAGAGGCAGGCGGATCTCTGAGTTCGAGACCAGCCTGGTCTACAAGAGCTAGTTCCAGGACAGGCTCCAAAACCACAGAGAAACCCTGTCTCGAAAAACCAAAAAAAAAAAAAAAAAGATAGTTCCAGGACAGGCTCCAAAACCACAGAGAAACCCTGTCTCGAAAAACCAAAAAAAAAAAAAAAAAAAAAAAAAAGAAATGAGTTTACTGGATACCTCAATGCCTTTGAAAGGGATACAGTGGGGACTTCTAGGGCTACCCTAGTGGGGGAAATAGGTGACAGCTTTGAATGAGATTGAAAACAATGGGGCGTAGTGGTGCACAGCTTTAAAGCCAGCACTTCAGGGGTAGGTGGATCTGTGTGTGGGGCTAGCCTGCTCTACACAGTACAACTATGGCTACACATTAAGATCCTGCCCTGGGGTGGGGGGAGACTAAAAAGCTGATACCATCTGATCCTGGGCTTTTTTTGGTTGGGAGACTTTTGATGACTGTTTCTATTTCTTCAGCCGTTATAGGTCTGTTTAATTTGCTTATCTGGTCTTGATTTAATTTTGGCAAGTGATATTTATCCAGAAAGTTGTCTATTTTCTTTAAGTTTTCCAATTTTGTGGAGTACAGGTTTTCAAAATATGACCTGATGATCTTCTGTATTTCCTCCGTGTCTGTTGTAATGTCCCCCTTTTCATTTCTGATTTTGTTAATTTGGATATTCTCTCTCTGCCTTTTGGTTAGTTTGGATAAAGGTTTGTCTATTTTGTTGATTTTTCTCCAAGAATCAGCTCTTTGTCTCATTGATTCTTTGTATTGTTTTCTCTGTTTCTATTTTGTTGATTTCAGCTCTCACTTTGATTATGTCTGCTTCTTTTTGTTCTAAAGTTTTCAAATGTTCTGTTAATTCACTACTGTGGGATTTTTCCAGCTTCTTTATGTAGGCTCTGAACTTTCCTCTTAACCCTGCTTTCATTGTGTCCCGTAAATCTGCGTATGTTGTGTGGTCATTTTCATAGAATTTTAGGAAGTCTTTAATTTCCCCCTTTATTTCTTCCTTGATCCATTGATGATTCAGGTGAGCATTGTTTAATTTCCATGTGTTTGTGGGTTTTCTGGAATTAGTCTTGCTGTTGACTTCTAGTTTTATACCATGGTGATCTGATAAGGTACATTGGGTTATTCCAATTTTTTTTTGTTTGTCGAGGTTTGTTTTGTTACCGAGTATGTGGTAAATTTTTGAGAAGGTTCCACGAGGTGCTGAGAAGGAGGTATATTCTTTTTTGTTTGGATGGAATATTCTATAGATGTCTGTTAAGTACATTTGAGTCATAATATCTGTTAGTTCTCTTATTTCTCTGTTCATTTTTTGTCTGATTGATCTGTTCAGTGGTGAGAGGGGAGTTTTGAAGTCTCCCACTATTAGTGTGTGTTCTTTAATGTATGACTTAAGCTTTAGAAGTGTTTTTTTCACATATGAGGGTGCCCTTGTATTTGGGGCATAGATGTTCAGTATTGAGATTTCCTATTGATGGATTTTTCCTGTGACTAATATGAAATGACCTTCTTTGTCTCTTTTGACTGATTTTAGCTTGAAGTCTATTTTGTTAGTTATTAGGATAGCTACATCTGATTGTTTCTTAGGTCCATTTGATTGGTTTATTTTTTTCCCCAACCCTTTACTCTGAGACCATGTCTGTCTTTGAGGTTGAGGTGTGTTTCTTGTATGCCGAAGAGGGATGGATTCTGTTTTCGTATCCAATCTGTTAGCCTGTGCCTTTTTATGGGTGAGTTGAGTCCATTTACATTAAGGGATATTAATGACCAGTGATTGCTATCTCCTGTTAATTTTGTTTTCATCGTTGGTGATGTTAATTTGTGCGTTTTTTTTTCTTCTTTGGGATCTGGGTATCATTTTTGTTTGTTTTTTCAAGACAGGGTTTCTCTGTAGCTTTGGAGCCTGTCCTGAAACTAGCTCTTGTAGACCAAGCTGGTCTCGAACTCACAGAGATCTGCCTGCCTCTGCCTCCCAAGTGCTGGGATTGAAGGTGTGTGCCACTGCCACCCAGTTTGTTTTTGTTTTTCAAGACTAGAGTTTCTCTGTTACAGCTCTGGCTGTCATGGAGCTCACTTTGTAGACCAGGCTGGTCTTGGACTCACAGAGATTTGCCTGCCTCTGTCTCCTGAGTGCTGGGATTAAATGATTAGAGCTACCATCCCCTGGCTCTTGGTCAAACTTACTCTTAAAAGATTAACTTTTAATGATGTATATGTGTGTGGGGGTGGATGCATGTGGGGGTGACCAGAAGAGGCTATCAGATTCCTTGGAGTTGAGTTCCAGGTGATTGTGAGCTACCTGGTGTAGGTGCTAGGAACTTGAACCTGGGTCCTCTGGAGAAGCAGCAAGCCCTCTTAACCATTAAACCATCTCTCCAGCCTCTCAGTACCTTTTTTCAACATGGCAAATTCATATTGATATTGCTTCCCCCTGCCTCTCCTGGTGGTGACTCTGCCCTCTTCATCCCTGAGCTTCCTGCCTGTCCTCAGGTCCCACCTAACCTAACCTCTTATTGGCTATTTATCTCTTTACTAAACCAATGAGAGCAACACATCTTCACAGTGTACAAAAACACTATTCCAATATAAAGCATCCAGGAAGAGGGTGGAGACTTTGAGGCCAGCCAGAGAGGTTATGCACCTCTCTGTCTAGGACAAGGAAGCTGCTAGGTCTTGGGAAGGGGGCATCTTTCTTGGGTACTTGGGACAGGGTAGTCTTTCCCACTTCCACGTCCTAGGGATGGGTAATGTGTAGAGGATGCAGGTGGATGGAAGGGTTTCTATCTGTTTCACGGATCCTCTTGGTCTCTTTCAGAAACTGGAGATATTTATATCTGGGGCTGGAATGAGTCAGGGCAGCTGGCCCTGCCCATAAGGAGCCCTACAGAGGACAGGAAGAGCGTGAGTGGAGCAGGTAAGGTCAAGCTCTAGGATTCTTTACTGTGTGCTAGACACTGAGGTGCGGTGCTCAGGATCAGGACTCATCCTGGCAACTGCTGGACAGACAGCACTCCTTCCTTGGTGTGGGAGGCTGATGCTGGTTTTGGCACAGCACAACCGGCAGGTGTGTTGAGTAAGGGCTGGGCACCAGTTCTGGCACTAGAAAGTTTTACAGAGCAACTGTAGGAAGATGCAGTGTGTGGATGAGGTTTGCCTCCATGCTCAGAATGTTAAACATTATAACCATTCTAAAGCCACAGAATTGAATGAAGATTGTCTCAAAGAAGAGGAAGCAGCTATGACTGATGTTGGGGCTCCTGCCCCCTTCATAGCCATCCAGCCCTTCCCAGCTCTACTGGATCTTCCCATGGGCTCAGATGCAGTCAAGGCCAGCTGCGGATCCCGACACACAGCCGTGGTGACACGTGAGTGGACTGGCTCAGGATGAGACAGTATTCCATCCCATTCTTTAGCTGGGGGCACAAAAAATAACACTTTGCTTTGCCCATCCTTTTTTAATCTTAGTAAGAGTCTCACTTTATTATGCAGGCTTGTCTCAAACTCCTGGGCTCAGACTTTAGAGTAGTTGGGACTATAGGCACATGCCACTGCATGTGTATGCTAGGGACTGGATCTAGGGCTTCTCACGTACCAAGTAAGCACATTGCTGAGCTATGTTTTTGACAAAATTTACCCTATTATAGCATCTTTTGATATATACTTTATGATCAGCTGTCTCACTTTCATGCTGGGCATGGCAGCACACACTTATAAATCCTAATTCTTGGGCTGAGGCAGGAGGATTGGGACTATATAGTGGAACTCTGTTTCAAGTCTTATCAACTAAAAACAATAAAAAGGTTACTTTGCATATCTTTAACAGCTCCACAGCCTCAGACCATAAGTTCTTCCTTCTAGAAGGAAACCTGCCCAGTCTAGGGTGTGACTCCATGTGTACATCTCAGAATTCCAGCGTGTTGTCTATGGCTTGTGCCAGGCCAGGTAGTATCTTGTCTAACTAGCAGAACAATGGTGGCAGATACTTACTGTTTGGTTGCAGGAACAGGAGAACTCTATACCTGGGGCTGGGGTAAGTAAAAAGGGTTTGTGATTCTTCCAAGGGGATGAATATAGAGCAGTTGACATAAAACCACACAAACAAGAGGGGTAGGAGCTTCGGCCTGACGAATGGGAGGAGAGCTGAAAAGTTGTGTGTCTCCCTTGGGTGGGAACAGATGTCTGCCAGACAGATGCCTCTGACCATCTTGACATAGGAAGCAGGAAAGCCTAGAGGAGTCATTGCCACTGTCCTCTGGGCAACCCCAAAATTTGCTTGGGCTTTGAAGCTTCCTGGCTTCACAGAAGGCCAGCAATGCCTATCAGAGAAAGGGGCTTGCTACATTCTAGGTAAATATGGACAGCTTGGCCACAAGGACAGCAGCAGCTTGGACCGACCCTGCCGTGTGGAATACTTCGCTGAAAAACAACTCCAAGTAAGAGCTGTCACCTGTGGACCCTGGAACACTTATGTATATGCAGTGGAGAGAGAAGAAATCTGACATATGTCATGTGAATCCCCAGGTTGCTAATGGAGCCTAGGTGAGAATGAACTGTCACAAACCAACATAAGTTCTACCTCAGGGTTAAAGGTGCATGACTCCAAGATAAAAACCAATGTTACAAAGCATGTAGGAAAGAGCTGAACATGTATATAAATGTTTATATTTTAGAGCAGGGCTAGGGATCAAAAGAACCCTAGACTTTCTGTGTGCTGGACAGAATAGCCCAGCTTCACTAGTTGCAAAATGAGAAAATACATGAATAAAATAGTATTATCCAAATGAGAAAGACTCTTAATCAACAGAGCAAAGCAACAATTGGAGAAAAATGTTTTCCAAAGGTAACTATATACATTTTATTTTAATATATTTAAAAAGAGAACATATATATTTGAGTAAAAGACAGCATGTTGACACATTTACTGTGTTGGCACACGCACAGAATAAATAATAGTGCTTTGGGAAGAGTAGTGATCCTCTGGGTGCTTAAAGAGCCTGGTGGGTGTGATTGCAGGGACACTGCCTTTTAGATGTGCAAAGTTGCTCATGTCCATGCCCAAAATGGCCCAACCCACCCCAAAAGCCTCTCCATTTCGTTGTCAACTACAAGAATAACTGTGCATAGGGAGCACAGGGCTGGAAGACAGGTCAGACAAGCACATGTGTTCATACACACACTTCATAAAGAGATTGCCCTATATAAATGCTGGTACTGCTACTCTTTGGCAGCAGGTCAAGCCATCTCAAATGCCAGAACACAAGAAATCCTCATTGGGATAGTGCGGGGTGAGGGGCACAGATCTCTGGGTTAAAATCAAAGCTACCATAGCTACAGCATTAATTTAAAAAATTGGTAAAGATGTTAACTGCTAATTCCAGGTCTACAGGCCAGAATTGTTTCATGTCTCATACTTCAAGGCTGGGCACAATCATTTTCTCATTTTTCAGTACAGTAGTGAAATAAACCCTTGACCATTCTTTAAATAGAATTATGGGGTACAGCAAACAAATTAGGTACCAGATGTTAAAATGTGTACTAGCAGTCATAACTAGATTTTCAGGCTTCATCTGTGGTACTCATGCCTCAAGTTAGGCCCATGGTATTACAACAGGGTTGTTTCAAACACACCTAAACTGAAGAAAAGCTATAAAGTCACCCCAGTATAACGAGTCAGTCCAGTCTAGGCACAGGAAGCCACAGCTGGCTAACTGGTCAAGAATTCTCAGGACTGGATGTTGGTTGAATTGAGGATTCGAGAAGTAGCATCAGCTCTGGAAGCCTTTGAAAGTTCTCGCTGTTGAAGAATGAACATCATCAGTGAGAGCACTAGTGCAGGCCCTTCCACTCAAACTTGCAGCACAAAGCCCCCAGGGCAGTTTCCCCAGAGTGTTCCATTTACTCAGTGTGCTAGGAACACACTGAGGAACCTGAGCACCATTCTGTAAAGTCACAGGCCCAGGACATGTGCACATGTACCCTGCTCTGAGCCTCCATCAGTCCAATCTTAAAACTTCAAGAGAAAAGCCTTACTTACTTGTGTAGTTTGTGTTGTAAAGCCAAGCAAGCAACAAGTTTTGTTTTTTCCTGTCCCTGTTGGGATTGAACCCCAGGGCCTTGCACATGAGTAAAACAAGGGTCAGACCGTTTATCTACCAATCCCGGGGGGCTGAGGGCTTTGTAACCTGCTGGTGATTTGATCTCATGCTGGAGTACATGGTGGAAAAGCACAAGAGAACAAGAGGGATTAGTAGAGGTGAGTGGCTTTGGTGCTGGCCCATGGAGTTTGTCAACAATAGCTGCTGATACCAAAAACCCTCCAGGCTTAGCTAGAGATAGATGGATGTGTAGGTAACATTTAAGCCTCAAATAGATAAAATGGGCTTTGGCTAGCAAGCAAAAAGGGGAGGGAAAGCTACATCTGTTGTTTGGCAATTAGCCAACAAGAGTTTCATACATCCATTTCTCCCGATAGAAACACTACCACCTAGAGAAGAAGGGCCAGAACAGAAACACCACCACCTAGAGAAGAAGGGCCAGAACATGAAGAATTTCAACATTTCCAACTGGCCACAGTCATTTTATGTCCCAATCTCCTTCCCTGTGGCACGGAGAGGAGGCAGTCCCAGCTTTAACTTGCTGTTCCCCACAACAAGGGTTAAGGGCAGCCTTCACCTCTCACTGGTGAGATAATGAAAGAGAAAGCAGATGGTTAAAGAAAAGGCACTGTAGTTAGGTGTCAGCAAATTCAAAGCATTGTAGTGAAGAGGCATTTCAGTCTCACACACATTAGCGACTCACTGGTAGGAATAAGTAGAGGTGAGAAAGAAGCATAGGCCAGCCTATATGGGCAGGCTGGGCGACTCAGCCCTGTGGGTTAGTAAGGTATATACTCCAGGAAACAATCAGCACACAGGCCAAGAGCCTCAGCATAAGCAGCACACAGCTGGGGTTCCCATCCCCATTTGGGGGAGAGGGGGCTTTGATATGAAAACTAGGGTATGGGGGCCAGGTATTCTTTTTAATTATAATAGGTAAATATATATTTGCACAATCTTAGGTGGGGCTGAGAATCCAATTCAAGTCTGAACATGTTGTTTTCTTGCTAGTCAGCACGTCAGTCTACTAGAAATAGAAACCAGACACTTATTTTTGAAGCCCACAATAAGAATTCTTGTGGGTTTTTTTGTTTGTTTTATATATGGTTGCTGTTGCTTTGGTTTTTAAGGATATATGTGGATACAGCTGAGATTATGGGTTAGTATAGTACTGTGCCCAGGTGGGATGAAGCCAGCAGATGACAGATCAGTTTAGAAAAGAGGACATGGGACATGCAGGGGTTGCCATACAGACCTGAAGCCCAACAGTGGAGCTGTCAGAGAGGGACGGGTCCTTCTAAGAACAAAGAATTAAGACAATTACCAAGAACTCCACCAAGAGAGCACCAGGCCAGTCATTAGCAGGTTACCTCCTGCAGCCAGGGAATGGTGCTTAAGCAGAAGGACTCAGGTCAAATGCCTAGCTGCTGACATCAGCTTCCTTGCTGTACACCCCCTAGGCCACCCACACTCTACCATGATCAAGGCAGGAAAGGGATTCTCAGCCTCCGGGTCACTGTCCTGACTGAATATCCTGGACGCCCTTGGGAAGATACCCACGCTGCCAACTGTGTGCTCCCCAGAGACTGGTAGATATCGAAAGGTGAATTACCGAAAACTCAGAATAGGTGCTGGCAACAGATTTAATGCTGCAGTTGTGCTGGAGGGGGGTCGAGCCAGAGTACCCACCGCTCAGGATGCTGCCATTGAGCTCCATGTTCTCCTTGTTGGCCCTGAGCTGGGCAGCTCTAGGTGTTTTCTTTCCAGAACACATAGAAGTGGCCACTGCCTGCAGAGAAGAAAGATATCCATGTTATCCATCACCCTAGAATGAATGTGCTCACAAAACCGCTGATGCCACATTTATTACTCATGTCTGTAACCCTATGCTTCCGTTTAAAATGGTGCAGTTAACTCAGACGTGGTGTTGCACATCTTTAATCCCAACAGAAGCAGGTGGTTCTGAGATCCTTAGTGAGTTCGACGACAGCCAGAGCTACATGGAGAGACCTTATCTCAAAACAAAACAGGTACGTTTTAAGATGGTGGCGCACGCCTTTAATCCCAGCACTTGGGAGGCAGATGCAGGCGGATCTCTGTGAGTTCGAGACCAGCCTGGTCTACAGAGCAAGTTCCAGGACAGGCTCCACAGCCACAGAGAAACCCTGTCTCGAAAACCCAACAAAAAAAAAAAAATGCTGGGGAACAAACCAATGGCCCACTGAATACAAATCGTGTTTGACTGCTGAGCTATCAAACCCCTAGCTTCTGGCATGAATTATACTTCTTAGCAAAGTTCCTACTTGTCAGTGGGTCTAGTTATCCAGTGTCTGTCATATAGGCTGTAGTCCAGAAGCCACCTAACAGCCCACCCAGTCCTTCCCATTCCATCAGTGAGGAGCGGTGACTGTTTCCCCTCATCTTTGACCATTCTCTAGTGCCCAGCCTCTTAAACAGTGGGTGATGACGCACATGAGGTCACATATTTGTGGCAGTCATGAAAAATGCGGCTATAAAAAGTTTTTGAATGAAGCTGGGCGGTGGTGGCGCACGCCTTTAATCCCAGCACTTGGGAGGCAGATGCAGGCGGATCTCTGAGTTCGAGACCAGCCTGGTCTACAGAGCTAGTTCCAGGACAGGCTCCAAAACCACAGAGAAACCCTGTCTCGAAAAAAACCAAAAGTTTTTGAATGTGTGTGACCAAAAACCGATTTAGAATCAGTGAACCTGAGGAGCTTCCAGCATCAGTTGCTTGTGTGGTGTCTACTACATTGCAGCCTTTGGAACACACAACACACACTGGGAATTTGCATGCCATACTATTCTGTGCCAACAAATGCTATCTATACCTTAGTGCTGATTCAAGACACACTTAACAGCATAACTGCAGTAGTATCTTTATATAGAGTTCTGCTGTTAATATTTTCCTTACCATCATTCCCTTTCATTTAAATATCAAAACAATATGTCCTTACATTGTACTGTTAGAATATTTTATTTTAATTGCTGAGCTGCTGAACTGAACTTCAGCTTGGTATTAGGACAGAATTTACAACAAATCAAAGTGTCCTAAACTTCTGTAATTTTGTACTATTTCTAATTCCAGTCAACATTAGTGATTATAAATCAAGCTATTGCCAGACAGTAATGGCACACATCTTTAATCCCAGACGGGAATCTCTGAGGTCAGCATGGTCTACAGAGTGGTTTCCAGGACAGCCAGGGCTACACAGAGAAAAAATTTTTTTTTTTTAAATTTTGGTTTTTTGAAACAAGGTTTCTCCATAGCTTTAGCACCTGTCCGGGCACTAGCTCTTATAGACCAGGCTGGCCTTGAACTCACAGAGATCCGCCTGCCTGGGATTAAAGGTGTGCACCACCAGTGCCCAGCAAGAAACACTGTCTTTTTTTTTGGGGGGGGGGGGGGGGTTTCAAGACAGGGTTTCTCTGTGGCTTTGGAGCCTGTCCTTCCTGGAACTAGCTCTGTAGACCAGGCTGGTCTCGAACTCAGAGATCCGCCTACCTCTGCCTCCCGAGTGCTGGGATTAAAGGCATGCGCCACCATCGCCCGGCCAAGAAACAGTCTTAAGGAGAAAAAAAAAAAGCCCTGGTCTAATGACTATCTGGCTCTGGCCTGACTCTCAGAATCTCAATGATCACCAAACTGTGATCTTAGGAACTAGGCTGAGGAGGACCTCTGGGAAGCACACAGCAAACAGGGATATGCATGTACAGAATATACTAACCTTGCTGCCAGGAGGTGGTCGGGATACAGGTGAATGGTACATTGTTCCAAAGACAGGCCGAATGCTGCTGTTGGGTGTAGCACTGGACATGGTGGTGGTGTTCATCTAAGAACAGATACTTTATTGATGGGAGGTTAACACATCAGCCTTCCCAGCAACCCAGCTCCACCCTGCAGCACGAAGTGTCCAGGAAAGGAGCTACTACAGTATAAAGTTGGCTGTGCACAATACCGCACAGCTTTAAGGAAATTTAAGAAATGTCTCAAAACCTATTAGATCTTCCAGATGAACTATAAATTTACCTAACTACTTATGGCACAAGACGTACAAATTGGCCTCATGAAAGCATATATCCATATGAAGACTTACACATGTTTATGGCAGTTTTTGTTTGTTTTGGTTTTTTGAGACAGGGTTTTCTCTGTATAACAGTCCTGCCTGTCCTGGAACTCGCTTTGTAGACCAGATTGGCCTCAAACTCACTGAGATACACCTGCCTCTGCCTCCCTAGTGCTGGGATTTGGAAAGGCGTGCGCCACCACTGCCAGCTACAGCAGTTTTATCTGTAACAGCCCAAAGTTAGAAATATCCCTCCCTTCACAGGTGACTGGACAAGCAGATTATTCTATATGCACAAAATGGAATTACTACCCAATAATAGAAAAGAATCATACTATAACATAGATGAATCTCAAAAACATGCTAAATGAAAACAACCATACAAAATATATTGCATGATTCTATTTGTATAAAATGTTAGAAAATGCAACATTGTGACAGTAAATTACTGGTTGTATTCTCTTCCTCCTTCCTTAGACCTTAGCAAAGTGGCATTAGCAACCTATTGGAGCTGTGGATATGTCCATTATCTTCACTGTAGCGATAATTCCTTATTAAAGTACACATTTTATATACTGCATGCTCACTATACTAAATAAAGTTGTAAGATTTTTTTAATGCTAAGGATTAGGCCAAGAGCCTTGCATATATTCTACTTAATTTTTAAAAATGCTGAACATGCTGGGTATGGTGGCTCAAGCCTGTAATCCCAGCCAGCATTCTAAAGGCATTTGTTAAAAGCACGGGAGGTGTCTTTCACCTAGTACTATCACTAAGTTTTTTTAAGTTTTTTGAGACAGGGTATATAAGAGTATAGCCTTAGCTGTCCTGGAACTCACTCTGTAGACCAGGCTGACAGTAAGAGATTTGCCTGCCTCTGCCTTCAGAGTGCTGGGATTAAAGCATGCACCACCACTGCCTGGCTTTGGATGATGAACTTCTGAAAAGAGTATCACATGTTGCTCCCAATTATCAGCCTCCAGGGGTTTATTCATGCAGGGTCTTGAAAACTGGCACAGAATTGGCCACTCTGTCACTATAAGCTGCTACTGTTTTCCCATACACTCTCAAATGGACAGCCTACAAAGACAGAAATATGCTTAATAAAAAGCAAAGAACTCTAGCTTCCCTACCCTTGTGAACAGCAACAGCATGAAGATAGATTTACCTTGCGTACTTTGCCAGGCTTGTTGGGAGTCATTCCTGGTCTCTTGCAAGGTGTCCGGGGAGCACTGCCATAGAGCATCTCTGTCTCTGTCTGTTTCTTGTTCTTTAGTTGCTGAATGAAATAATGATATGCCCAGTAAGACCTCAGAACCAGAAACCCAGGTAAATCTCTATAGGCTGAAGTAGAAGAAGCTGCTGTAATCCACCTATTCTTCAATAAACTCTGATCCCAGGAAGAGATGCAGGACCACTAAGTGGTATCCTCTTTTTCTAATTTCTGTGCACAACTTACTCTTTCCTGTTTGGCTCTTTCTTTCTCCAATCGATGCAGTTCCCATTGTTCTGTAACATACTCCATGAATTTCTGCCCATTCACCACAAATGCCATTGATTGCTCTTGTTCCCACTTTTCAATCCGTGCTTTCAGCTCCTCTTCCAGCTGGCCCAGAAACAAGAACGTGCTATTTAAGCCTTTGGTGTTAATCTCAAATGAAATAATTATCGTAAAGAAAGACTTTTTCCCAGTGTCATCAACCTTCTGATAGCCAAACCCATATGAATGTAAATTGGAGTGAAGGGAAATCAAAGACTAGAGCGTTCATTTAGACACACATTAAAAAGGAAAAAAAAAAAAGGCCCCAGTGTAAAAATGGAGGTTTTGATGTCTAAAGTTAGAAGCAGCACTGGGAATATCAACATTAGATAGACAGGGTATGTTATGAACAGGAGTATGGAACCACACACTGTCAGCTTTTCAATATGGAGCAGTGAAGGTGGGTAAGCTGAACTTTTTAGTATCTCAGTCCTTTCATCTCTACATATGGAAATAATATTAAATATTAGACAATGATATGAATGAATGAAATACCATTGAATATACTATCTGGCAAAAGTTAACAAAAGCTATTTAGCACTATTACTAAATAGAAGACAGTAGCACTTTTGTGAAAGTTAGTCTTATGCTATAGGTGCAATTGTTATCCTACAATTCACTGTGAAGTCTTAACCCCTAGTACCTACACCTCATTGTTATTATCTGAAGACAGATAAGGTAAGTGGGTTCAATAAAGTCATTAGGGTAGGACCGTTTACAGTCAAGAGAGACCCCAACCCTATCAAAGACACACTGAGCTCATACTTCTAGCATCCAGAAGTATAAACAGATAAATTTCTGTTGTTTTAAGCCAACTAATCTTTGGTAGTTGTGGCAGCCTTAGAAAAACTCCTACAGTCAGTTGAGATATATAATATATATAAAGGTCCAATACATACTTGCTGTCCTTTCTATGTTTAAAAAGGACCAAGAAAGGTACCTTACAACCAGAATTACCTTAGGGAGTGTTTTCTGTAGCTTTGCTCGTTCCTTTTCTTCTTTTAGAAGATTTCCCCCTCTGTTTGTAAACCGACTTGGATCTGAAGCTTTTCTCTGTGAAAAACATATTTGTTAGAGTAAAACCAAGATAAAGTGAATAAACATGAGGACCGGAGTGCAGGTCGATCCCCAGCACCATGTAAAAAGCTACAGGTGGTAGTGCATGCCTTTAATCCCAGTGCTCAGAGGCTGAGGCTATGAGATCCAAGTTCAGTGAGAGATCTTACCTCAAGAAATAATGTAAGCCAGTGCTTGGGAGGCAGAGGCAGACAGATCTCTGATCCGTCATCTTGACACAGCCCCTGACTGGTACAGCCTATAAAGAGTAACTGCAGGGGCTCTAACCTACCAAGGACTCTACATTTCTATTCCTAACCTCTCTTCACAGAGGAATTAGCTGTCTGTAAGCCTGTTTTCCTTACTTCAGAGTCTCACTTCTCTATTTGTAATGCTTTTTCCTTTCACTTTGAAGCCCAGGCTAGGGGAGAGCCCATGGTAAGTAATCCTTCAGTTTGCCAAGCACTAGGACTACCACACCTGGCATGCTTTCATGATGGTTAATTTCACTCTAGAGAAAAGGGATGTTACCTCAAACTCTAGGAAGAGTTTCCAGCTCTCTTCCCATTTCTGGACACCTTCAAATAGTTCCTTATGAACTTCATAGTGGTTTCTTAACCGTACAATCTCAGCATCATGAAGATGAAGCAGGTTTTCTGTGTAGTCCTCTGCAACAGAAAAGTTCAATAGTGGATTTTTTTGGTTTGGGGTTTTTGTTTGGTTATTATTTAAGACAGGGTTTCTCTGTGTAGCTTTGGAGTCTGTCCTGTAACTCATTCTATAGACCAGGCTGGCTTCAAACTCACAGAGATCCATCTTCTTCTGCCTTCCATGTGCTGGGATTAAAGATGTGTGGCAGGTTTGTTGTTTTTTATTTTTATTTTTTATTTTATTTATTTTTTTTTTTTTTGATTTTTCGAGACAGGGTTTCTCCGTAGCTTTTGGTTCCTGTCCTGGAACTAGCTCTTGTAGACCAGGCTTGTTGTTTTTTATTTTTAAGAAAACATTAAAAAAAAAAAAAAAAAAAAAAACCATTCCTTTAGTACCGTGGTTCTCAACCTGTGGGTCTCGATCTCTTGGGGTCACATACCAGATATATACATTAGGATTCATAATAGCAAAATTAGTTATAAAGAAGCAACAGGGGCTGGAGAGATGGCTCAGTGGTTAAGAGCACTGACTGCTCTTCCAGAGGACCCGGGTTCAATTCCCAGCACCCACATGGCAGCTCACAACTGTCTGAAGATCAGTTCCAGGGGATCTGACACTTCACACCAATGCACATAAAATAAAGTTAAATAAACCATAAAAATATTTAAAAGAAAAAAAGCAACAAAGTAATTTTATGGTTGGGAGTCACAACATGAAGAACTGTATTATAGGGACGCAGCATTAGGGAGGTTGAGAACCACTACTCTAGTGTTTGGTATTCCAAATAACTAAGCCTACAGTGAGGAAAGTTTTCTACCTTAAAATAAAATGACATAGAAATAAAGTGAAAATAAACCTTAAGGATAGAAGAATAAAAGCTAGCCACAGTAGCTGGGGTGAACTAAAATAGTCTAAATTGACGGACATTCTCCAAAATAAAATTATCTAAATATCTGTTGTTTTGTTTAGGACACTTTCACCTTTGTTCAGTTTATGACAGCCTGGAACTCTACTTAAGACAAAAATTTAATTGTTATACCTTTGGGTTCATTGGTCAAAATTTTTTACTTATGACATGAGAACTAGGATATTTTTAAGGCTTGGCTCTATCTGCTTAGAACCAAAAATACAGAACTTGGTGAGTGAGCTTGTAAAAGACCTGTGAGGGAGGTCACATGAAGGTCATCACCTCTGTACTAACCAGAATAGTAAGGGGCAAAAGCCTGTCTCTGTTCCTGGCTGTAGAAGCACTGGTCCCAGAACCGAGCCAGCTCCACTCGAATGGTCTCGATCACTTGCTTTATGTTCTGCATTTTCAGCTCTTCTAACCGATCCACCTCTAATTGCAGCTAAAAGAAAAAAGAAAGGCTAGAGCCATACTTACATATTCTCTTTACCTTTCCTCATGTAAATAAACCAACAACATACTTTATAGCATTATAAAAGCCAGAAATCTAAGGAATGTGCCCACAAAATGTAACAAAACAGAACTTGTCTTTACTGGCCCAGGACAGTAGGCAGAACATTAGACTGGACCCAGAAACGCTCAGAACACTATTTTCCCAGCACCCATTGGTTTTCTTACCGCATTCCTGACTTTGGCTTTTGATCCAGTCATAATTGAAGCCACAGGTTCTCTCTCTTCTTCAGGTATTTGTAATCTATCCCAAAGCTCTCGGATTTGAGCACGGAGTCCCTCACACTCTGCCTCATTTTTTGACTTTTTGATTTCCAGCTGTAACAAGGAAAGGCAGGCAGTGTTTATGACAAAATAGTAAAGGAAAATGTCTGGACTCATAAGAAAGCATTTTTATGAGATCCACATATATTCATATTCCTATTTTCTCTATGTAACACAGGCTGGCTTTGACTTAGCTTCCTGAATGCTGGGATTATAGTTTAGGTGTGTGCTATCACACACTTCTACATTGAGTGCTAAGAGACATGCTTTCATGTCATCTAAACATATGCTATAAGGCTGTCAGACCTATAACAGAATTCCAACTGACTTTCTTGTGGGTGTTTTTTTGTTTTTAAGACTTATTTATTATACATATGTTCTGCCTGCATCTATTCCTGCACACCAGAAGAGAGCATTAGATCTCATTATAGATGATTGCGAGCCACCATGTAGTTCCTAGGAATTGAAGTCAGGACCTCTGGAAGTAGAGTCAATGCTCTTAACCTCTGAGCCATCTCTCCAGCCAATTGTTATTTTAAGACAGGGTCTCATTAGGTATCCCTGTATGGCCTGGAATCCACAGAGATTCATGCTTCTGCCTCCTGTGCTGGGTTTAAAGGCATGTGCCACCATACCTAGCTCAGGATTCAAACTTTAATTTTTTTTATTATTATTAAACATTGGTATAATTTAAAATGGTTAATGCTATTTCATCTGAAACATCAACTTAATATTCTAAGAATATTTATTATATTTCTTATTCACATAAAAGGTAGTTGGACTTTTTCCAAAATTAAAAAAAGTTAGGGCTATGGTTAGGAGTTCACTGTTTAGTGTCTAAGATTCATGAAGCTACAAGGTTTGAGTTTAGTCTCTACCACAAAAAAAAAAAAAAGAAAAGAAAAAAGAAAAATAGGAACTGGGAACTCAGTCAGTAAAGTGCTTGCCACTCAAGCAATAAGGACTTGAATTCAATCCCCAGAACCTATGCATAAAGCTGAGCCTGGTAGAGTATGCTTGTACTCTTAGTATTGCAGGATATTTGATCACACTGTGTGAAATTGTGCCGCTATTTTACCATGTCTACCCTAAGGCACCTAACTGGTTTAATAAAAAGCTGAATGGCCAAAAGCTAGGCAGGACTTTCAGGCAGAGAGAGGTACTCGGGGAGATGCCAGGGAGACTTGGAGGGAGTCAGACATAGAGAATGGAAGAAAGCCCAGGGAGATTTGGAGGGAGTCAGACAGAGAATGGAAGAAAGATAAAAAGCCATGTGGCAGAACATAGATTAATAGAAATAAGATTAATTTTAGTTCTAAGAGATGCTTGGGAACAAGCCTAAGCTAACAGGCTATAATTAATAATAAAATTTCTGTCATTTGGGAGCTGGTAGTCCCAAGAAAGTCTGACAAAATCCAACTATATTTTAGCACTGGAAAGGTGAGACATATCTGTAGGACTCACTGGCTGGCAAGCCTAGCCTAATAAGTGAACTCTAATCCTTGTGAGAACTTGTCTCAATAAGGTAGACAGCTCCTAGTAATGACACCTGCAACTGACCTCTGACACATGTTCTCTCTCTCACACCCTAACAAAGAAACAGATATATTACATATTGTTCTCTCCCTCTCTTTTTTGGTTTTTCAAGACAGAGTTTCTCTGTGTAGCCCTGGCTGTCCTGGAACTCGCTCTGTAGACCACGCTGGCCTTGAACTCAGATCTATCTATGTCCCTGTCTCCCAAGTACTGGAATTAAAGGTGGGCATCACCACCCTCCAGCTTTCGCTTATTATCTTAATTCACATTTGCACCTTATTTAAGACTAAAGAAAAAGCTATCGTTTTTTTATAATTGATAAATACTAGTAAGATGTTATAGCATAATCTGAGCAGATATTACCTGCTGTAGCAACTTCTGCAGTGTTGCAATATTCTCCAACGATAAACAAAAGGCACTTTCATCTTCACACACTACATCTTTTTCAAAGCTTGTATCTGGAGTGTGTTCTAATTCTTCCATACACAATATGATTTGTCTCTTAATGCTGACAAATTGCTCATGCCTAGATTCCTAAAATAAAGAAAATTATTATAAGCTACCCAGAAACCAAATGAAGTTTTAGGGTAAATGAATGCAGGTAGCGTACCTTTGTTTCCTTCAATGTTGCCACCCGTTGTCGGAACCGGTTCAGCTCTTCTAAGGTGGGGACAGAGGAGCTCTCAACATCATACAGAGGCAGACAAAGAATTTCACAGAGCTCTTGATCTTGTTCTTGAAGTAGCTTAAGTTCCTGCTTTCTCTCCTTTTTCTGTTTTCTCATCAATTCTACTTGAGTGCGCAAATCTTTTTCTAACTGCAAGACAGTTATCTCCTTTTCTTCCTATATGAAATAAGGTATGACTATAATAAGGTCCAAAAATGGGAAGAGAACTGGGAGAGAACATGAATGATAAATGTTTACATTTACAAACAAGGCAGTTTAAGCCAGAGGTGGTGGCACACACCTTTAACACTAGCACTTTGGAGGTAGAGGCAGGGGGCTATCTGTGAGTTCAAGCCAGCCTGGTCTACAAAGTTCTAAACAGTTCCAGATAGCCAGGGCTATTACACCAAGAAACCCTGTCTCAAAAAGCAAAACAAACAAAAACCCAAGGTAGTTTATGGCCACAGGGAAAGGCAAATAGGGACTTTTAAAATCTGACTTGTACTATGTAGCCAAGGAAGACCTCAAAGTCTTGATCCTCCCCTTGTTTTGGGTGCTCAGATTACAGGCATGGGTCACCATGCACAACTTCCTTTACCAATTTTAACTATGGTAAAACACCCCTAAATTATATAACCCTACATACCATCTTTTTTTTCTTAAGATTTATTTTGTGTACAGCATTCTGCCTACAGGCCAGAAGAGGGCACCAGACCTCATTATAGATGGTTGTGAGCCATCATGTGGTTGCCAGGAATTGAAATTTAGAAGAGCAAGCAGTACTCTTCACTACTGAGCCATACCTCCAGCCCCCCTACATAACACCTTTACCATTTTTTTAGAACAATTTTGATATTTGGTTTAATGGAATAAATAAAAAACAATGTGAATTTCTAACACTGCTTTTGTTCCCCCAGCTATAGCTCTGTCTAGAGAATACTAACTTTTTATTTGCTTCTTTGTTTGGGTTTCTCTATGTAGCCCTGGCTGTCCTGCAACTGACTTTATAGCCCAGACTGACCTCGAATTCACAGAGATCCTCCTAAGCGCTCAGTTTACGAGCATGCACCACTACTTCCCAGTGACAATACTGCCTTTTTATTTGTATTTCTGCACCAGCAATCATTTGACTTGGATAAAACAGCTAATTTGCAATGTCACACAGACCAGAAGGATCAAAACAATTTCTATCAATTCTGTACAGAGTCTGAGGGAGAGAAGACTGTAATTTTCAAGATTACAATCAAGGAGAATTCATGACCAGACATTTAATTTAATTTATACAAGTATATATACTTGTATATATCTGACATCATATACACGCCAAAAACAAGGTACGAGAACTCAGTATTTGTTATAGGCCATCTTCTAGCTCTCCATGACAATTATGTAACAATAACAATACTAATCAGATGGCAAGAAGTAACACTTTAGAACTTATTCTAACCGAACAGTGACCTCTCTTACAATAATAGTGCTAATCGACCAGGTTAGTTTCGTGGCAATCTTGTATAGCTGCAAGAAGGGACACCAAAAATGTCATCTTCTATACCTCCTGTCTGACATATATGCTTCAACATAGTATCAAATCCTGGCTGTCCCATGGATATCTTACAACTGTTTCATGATCCAAATACAACTCTGTATCTGTTCTCCCCCAACCACAGTCTTTTTCTGCTCTTCCTTGATGTAATAAAATCTTTTTATCCAGTTGCCTAGGATGAAAGCTGTGGGTAACTCTTAGATTTCTTTTCCTATCCTCCAGATAGTGCCAAGTCTATGCCCAAGTTTTGAATCTGTATACTCTGCTCCTAACTATCTTCCATCAGCAGACCATTGGAAAGGACTGCTGGTTTTTCTTTTCTAAAATATTCTGTCTAATGAACATTTTTATTTTTTTTTTGCATTTTATTTTTTTATTTTTTGGATTTTTCGAGACAGGGTTTCTCCGTGGCTTTTGGTTCCTGTCCTGGAACACCTTTACCATTCTTAAGTGCATAGTGCACTGATAGTAAATACAAATAGCCTCCAACTTAGCAATAGATTTCATGGCTTTTCATCTTCACAGAGGGACAAAAGCAATATGCACTCAGCAGAATCTATATTCCAAGCCCAAACACAGCCAATTTTTTTTTTAACTTTCAATATAGTACTCAAATTACACAAACTATGAAATACTTTTTTTGAGATAGTCTTGCTGGCCTTGATCTTTCTGGCTCAGGTTTCCACAAGCTGAGATTACAGGCCTTCCCTAGCACACCAAGCAGAAGTCAGCCGTGCACCACCTTTGACACTGGCACAACAGTGATACAGTTCACACCTGAGAACAGGGCTCTCAAGAATAAAACCAACTAAAGCAAGTTGTCCCCTGACCTCTATATGTAAATGGCATGTGCACATCCACACACCCACAATAAATTCAAAAACAAAAGAAAAATCACCGCTAACAATAAAACTCTCATGTTTTAAGAACTTCATAATTTTTTGCAGCCAGGCGGTGGTGGCGCACGCCTTTAATCCCAACACTAGGGAGACAGAGGCAGGCGATCTCTGTGAGTTCAAGGCCAGCCTGGTCTACAAGCACTAGTTCCAGGACAGGCACCAAAGCTACAGAGAAATCCTGTCTTAAAAAACTAAAAAGAAAAAAAAAAAGAAAAAAAAAAAACCACCTATAATTTTAAAAAAACTTAGTTTTGTAAATTTTATTACTGTTGTATATAATAGGGGAACATGCACGTTGCCATGACATGCATATGACAGTCCCAGGAAAGTCACAGCTTTATGAAGTTGATTCTGCTCATCCTTATGTGGGTTCTGGGGACTGAACTCAGGTCATCAGGCTTTCACATGACAAGTACTTTATCCACTGACCCATTTTGTTGGCCCGATCTCTTTTATTATTGGCCAATACCAGAGATTAAAACTAGGACATCATTCGGGTCAAACTTCTACCACTAAACCACATCCACAGTGATTAGATCACAATTTTTTTTTTTTTTTGGTTTTTCAAGACAGGGTTTCTCTGTGGCTTTGGAGCCTGTCCTGGAACTCGCTCTGTAGACCAGGCTGGTCTCGAACTCACAGAGATCCGCCTGCCTCTGCCTCCCAAGTGCTGGGATTAAAAGCGTGCGCCACCATCACCTGGCTTAGATCACAATTTTGTTTTAATCCACAGGTTGGACATTTGTGTATGATGGTGCCCAACTCTAGGCTAATGTGTTTTGTGCATATGGCAATAACTAAATGTAAGCTACAATTTTCAGTAACTGAATTATATGAATTATACAATTTTTAAAAATTTACTATGGTTTTATTATGATGTAAGTCTAAGTTAAGAAGCAGTTGTAAATACAGCTATGTAATCATCATGATCACTAACTCTAGAACTCATTTTATCTTGCAAAACTGACACTAAGTTAATTTGGCAAAAGGTCCTCATTTTATGCTCCCACCCACGCCAGTCTATTCTACTGAATCTGCTTTAAGTGCCAGGATACTTTTGCGAGAGGGTACAAAGACCAGAAAGCTTACTTTGGTTAGCTAGATGATACATAGCTCTTATTAACTGAATACTTACATTAATAATCCTATGAACATCTCTTTACCAATACCAATTTAGTAGATCCTGCTCTATTCCTACTGGATAAACAAGGGAACAGAGTGAATAGCAATTATTTATGTTCTACAAATACAGTTTCATTTAGTATTGTTAAAAACTTGCCATATATTCAAGGAAGATAGATGTACCAGTGTACCCCTCAACTTCTCATGCACCTAATTTTACACTGAAAGTTTAAAGTAAAGAGAAACTTTATATAGCAAATTCATGATTTATATTAATTTCAGTAAACTACTCTAATGTCACAGTCTGCTTGGATACTCTTGACTGCCAGGGATGAATTATCCTCACCCTTCAAAGGCAATCTGACTGCTAGACTTACTCCATCTATAGACCCAGGTGGTTGGTTATTACTGCCACAGTAGAAGGAGCATGAGAATCAGCCATCACCTCTCAAAGCTCCCTATGTGTCCCAACTGAACCATTCTGGATGGCTCAGTGGTATGCAGCTTTTGATTATTAAAAGAGCCAGAGGTTGAATTTTGTTTGGTAACCTTTGCTTTGTATCACTAGGTATCCTTGCTTCCTATGTACCCCACTTTATTCTGTGGTGGTTCATATATATATGAACAAATGAATGGATAGAAATCAATTTTGGGTTCTATTGTCCACCCTGCTTTTTGGTCTAAAGATTTACTTATAAGGGTATGAGCTTTTCTCCTGAGTGTCTTTAAGTGACCTGCATGTGAACCTGTGCCCACTGGGCCACAAGGGGGTGCTGGACTCCCTAGGATTGGAGTCCAGAACAGTCCTGTAAGCTCCCACATATGCTGGGAACTGAAACCAGCCCCTATGAGAGCAGCAAATGCTTAAGCTTCAAATCAGTGAGAGACCTTGTCTCCAAAAAGAAAACAAAAAGTAAAAACAAGGTAGCTTTTGGAGACAAGGTCTCTCACTGGTTTGAAGCTTAAGCCTCAGAGATCCACCTACCTCTGCCTCCCCAATGCTGAGGTTACAAGCATATGCTACCATTATCTGGTTGGTTGTTCTGAGACCAGGCTGGCCTTGAATTTACAGAGATCCCCCGCCTTTGCCTCAATGCCCAGCAATCTGGCTTTTTTGTAAGGATTATGAAGGTTGAATTCAGGTTCTCATGCCCATTAGGGAAGGACTTTACCAATTAGCCCATTTCTTCATTGTTCCCTTATCCCCACTTTTTTTTTTTTTAAATATTTATTTATTTATTATGTATACAATATTCTGTCTGTGTGTATGCCTGCAGGCCAGAAGAGGGCACCAGACTTCATTACAGATGGTTGTGAGCCACCATGTGGTTGTTGGGAATTGAACTCAGGACCTTTGGAAGAGCAGGCAATGCTCTTAGCCTCTCAGCCATCTCTCCAACCCCCACCTTATCCCCACTTTCAAACAAAGATCTGTGCCTACCTTTTCCTCAAGTTTTTTTTTAAAGATTTATTTATTTATTTTGTATACAGTGTTCTGTCTGCATGTATGTCTGCACACCAGAAGAGGGCAGCAGATCTCATTGCAAATGGTTGTTAGCCACCATGTGGTTGCTGGGAATTGAACTCAGTACCTCTGGAAGAACAATCAGTGCTCTTAAACTCTGAGCCATCTCTCCAGCCCCTCTTTTCTTCAAAGTTAACTTAAAAGGTTATTATGATCTATAAAACTGAAATACAGCAAGAAGTTTTGATGACCTATATTAGCTGTTTCATGTTTAGCTCTCTTCCTACAAGAACACATTCCCCTTGCATTCCTCAGTTAAAACTTATTCCCATCTTAGGCCTGCAGCCCCAGTAGCACTCTGTACCAGCGCACCTGATATGGTGTCACTTGTAGCTCACTGCACAGGGTGCTCAGCTCCTTCTGACAGATGGATATGCTTTTGAGAAGCCTTTCCCTCAGGCTCTCCTCCTCAGCAATCATCCTATCCAGAAGATCCTGTGAGAGAGAGGGCAGTTAGTAAAGGTTTGGAGCCACTGGGAATAAAAAACAAAACACAACAAAACCAACTAGTATCTCAAAACTCTCATATCAAATTTTGCAGAAAGGCCCTTAAATAAACAAAACCAGGAAAAGCCTGTGATATCCTAGTATGAATGACCAGATTTTTTATTAATCATTATGTGTGCTCATGATGTGGGGTTGAGGAATGCAAATGCTGTGGAACGCATATGAAGGAGGAAAGACAACTTTACAGACTCACTTCTCCCCTAATACCCTATATGGGTTCTGATGAATGAGGCCAGGTCTTCAGGCTTGTATCTGAGTTTCAGGCACCTTTACCTATTTACTAAGCCACCTCGCCAACTCCCCCAAATATCAGTCCATCTGCTATCTCAAATAAGAGCAACATCCCTACCTGTCTCACCGCAGAAACCAGTGCCACGCAACTCACCTTGATGTGCTTCTTCACAACCTCAGTTCTTTGTAATCGCTGCTCCTCTGGAATCCCAATTAATTCCCATATTTCCCGAAGGTGAGTCAGAGCTCTCTGGAGACATACGATAGACTCCTCTGCTAGCACCTCACTGAAAGATCAATAGAAGACCATTCTGCTTATATAGCTAGCAGCACCGCCTCAAAACTAAAAGCACTATTTTCAGGAGCTAAATTGAGTAATTTCCCAGTGGCCTTGAGAAATGAAATGAAATCAGTGTAAGGATACTAGTTTAATAAGCCCATGGCCATTCTCTGTGCCCTCAATGCCACAGAAGCAAAATGGTTATATTCATTCTTTTTTTTTTTTTTTTTTTTTTTTGGTTTTTTGAGACAGGGTTTCTCTGTGGCTTAGGAGCCTGTCCTGGAACTAGCTCTGTAGACCAGGCTGGTCTCGAACTCACAGAGATCAGCCTGCCTCTGCCTCCCAAGTGCTGGGATTAAAGGCGTGCGCCACCATCACCCAGCGGTTATATTCATTCTTAATAAGACCCAATGACTTTGATCTGTGACTCTATTTTTGGCAGTATAATACTGAATTACAAATGCTTTTATAAAAGAAAAACCAAACAAAATGTCAGTAAAATAAACCCCTAACATAAGAGCTTACACATAAACTGGGTGGTGGTGGTACATGCTTTTAATCCCAGCACCTGGGAGGCAGAGGCAGGCCTCTGTGAGTTCAAGTTCAAGGTCAGCCTGGTCTACAGAGTGAGTTCCAGGACAGCTGGGGCCACACAGAGAATCTCAGTCTTGAAAAACAAAACAAACAAAAAGGGGGCAACAAATATTGGTGAGAAACTAGACGCTTATATACTGCTTGTGGAATGCAAGATGATATAGTCACATTGGTGTAAAATCTAGTAGTTTCTCATCAGTTATCATACAACCCAACAATTCCACTACTAGGATTTATCCAAGACAAGTGAAAAGGTGTTCACATAAAATTTGTAAAAAGGGGGGGGGGCGTGATTACGCCACCTTAAGCCCAGCACCCCTGAAGTGGCTCAGAACTGAACTCCAGATGAGCTCTTCTGGGCTCCCCAGGCACAGCTGCACTCACATGGACATACCCACACACCCATGTACACATTGTTAAAAGTAAATCTTAAAATCTTCTGAGGGCTATTCATGACTCAATGGTGTCTCCAGTGTGGGCTTCAGACAAGAGTGCACAGTGCCTTTGGGAAGTCCCAGGGGCACAGTGGAAGGGTTCATATTAGCCACGTCACCATGCTCATCGCACCAAGTTTCCAAATAAGTTGATAAGTGACTGATGTCCCACGCTGAGCCTATGTTCAAGTTCCTTGGCCACCACATCTCAAAGAAGTGAGGTTTCATCAAGTTTAGTGCAGATTAAGTTAAAGACATGGTAGCTGGGAAGAATCAGCTCATTCCTGATGGCTACAGGGTCAAGTCAAATACTGTAGTCTCCTGGATAAGTGGCAGACCTGCAGTCCTGAGGTGTGTGTTCTATACTTCACCAAACCATTTTCATAATAAATCTCACATCCAGTTTTAAATATTTTTTAAGCTGGGCCTGGTGGTGCACATGTTTGATCCCAGCACTCAGGAGGCAGAGGCAGGCGGTTCGAGGCCAGCCTGGTCTACGGAACAAGTTCTTGGACAGCCAGTGCTACAGAGAAACCCTTTCTCAAAGAACAAAACCTTTAAAGAGTGCACCACTCACTGCTGCTCTTCCAGAGTACCCGAGTCTGGTTCTAGACACCTGTACCCAAGTGCAAACTCCATACACCAGTACACGTAATTTAAAATTAAAAGACCCCCCTTTTAAAAGGGGAGGGGCACATGTGGTTGCACCCAGCACCCAGAAAGCAGAGGCACTTGCATTTCTGTGAGTTAAGGCCACAGGGTAGTGAGTTCCAGGACAGTCAGGGCTGTGCAGAGACCCTGTTTTAAAAGCCTCCCTAAATAAATAAATATAAAATAAAAAATGAAATCTCTTAAAAAAATAACTGAGACCTAAATTAAAAGATCTCAAATCCAATTAAAACCAAGGAAAGCACTGGCCACGCTGTGACCTTCCTACAATCTCAATAAGAGCTTGAAATTTAAAAAAGAACAATCATGCCGGGCGTTGTGGTGCACGCCTTTAATCCCAGCACTTGGGAAGGAGAGGCAGGTGGGCAGGTGGATCTCTGTGAGTTCGAGACCAGTCTGGTCTACAAAGTGAACTTCAAGGCAGCCAGGTCACTTACAGAGAAATCCTGTCTCAACACCCCCCCCCCCCCCAAAAAAAAGATGCCTGAATAACAATACTGAAGCAACACATACATTTTTTGAGAGATGGAATCTCGAATGTTAGTCTGGCATTGAATTCAAATCTCCTGCCTTCATTACCCAAGAGGTAAAGTGGGGGAATAACTGTGCCACCACACCCAGCGTTTGGGCCTCCTATTTGGAGAAGGGATCTTTTTATATAGTGCAGGAGGTCTTGAACTCTCCGGCTTTGGGCGTCTGAAATTTGTTACAGGGGAGAGTTACTACATCCAAATATACTTTGAATACTAGTTTCCTTTAGGGGTTTTACTAGTCTTCATAAAGAGTTTAAGTATAATGTCATTGACATGACACTATCTGGAATCCTTGCCTTGTGCTAAATTTGTATTCAAGATACTGTTTGCATTCTATTTCCATTCTCTTGAGGCCCAAGGGGTAAAAAATATGATCAAAATCAATAACCACGTTACCAAGACTCTTACAAATTACAAAGCCAATAATACAAGCGAATACTAAATCTCACAGTAGTCCACCCACTACTTTCCGAAGGGATTTGTACAGCCTCAGCACAGAGCCCCACACACCCATATTATTTTAGAAATGTCAAAACCGGCAATTCAGCCTCTTGCCCAAAGAATCAGTTCTGGTTCGATTCCCAAGCAGTGCCTGGGAATCTTAAAATGATCCGGAAAACATTCCGTACTTTAGTTTGTTAAAGTGCAAGGAAATCAAGCCATTTTCCAGTTCAAGTTAAACGTTAACATCGACGAGCGGCCACGAAGAAAAACGGTTCACTTAAAACTCGCCGGCTTTTTGAACCGGTCTCGCCACGTAGCCTGGGCTAAGCTCAAGGCAATCTTCGTGGTCCAGCCTCCCGAGCTATGGAATTCCAGGCATTAGACAACTGAGAAGCCAACGCCATGGCACGCTCAGCATTTCCACGGAGCGGCTGCTGAGAAAAGCAGCTGCACCTGAGGCTGCCGAGGAACCGGGAGCTGAGCCCGGGCCTGAGCCGCACCCACCCGGGCCTCCACCCTGCGCCGTCCCGCTCGCGGCTCGCCCAGCTGGTCGCCCGGAACCCCACTGCCCTCCCGGACCCCCGCTGCCCTCTCGAGCCCTGCCGCCAGCGCCCCCAGCGCCCCCAGCCGCAGACGCCGACTGAGCGCAGGCTCTCGAGCCTTGAACCTGACCGCCTCTCAACAGTGGCTCCCTCCCCTGAGAGACCCGCACCTTCTCCTCATGGCGGACGCTCCTGGCAGTCAAGACCCGAGACCCTCCACCTCCTTCACGCGGGTCGGAGGACAGTAACCTCCACAAGCCTCGGACACTCTCAGCTGCGTCTCGCCTCCCTCTCCAGCCGTTGGACCCCCGCGTAATTCAAACTCCGCTCGGAGGCGGAGCCGTCCGACAATTGGTTCCTGTTTCCGCCACTCACGGAGCCCCGCCCCCTGCGACGGGCTCTCTATCCCGGACCCGGAGGCGGTGGCGCCTGGGGATTGCGCCCGGGGCGTGGGAAGCACTTGCAGGGGCGGCGCGGGTTTGGTATACGCATGCGCACACCCGTGTCTTCAGCCCCCTATAGCTGGGCTTCAACTTCAAGGGAGCGGAGGAGCCGGGGAGAGGGGCGGAAGAACGGTGAGGTCACCCCAGCCCCACCCGGCTGCCGCCGTTGGGTTTCAAATTTTTTACTTCCTCAAAAAGATTAGGGAGACTGCCAGAACTGCTCAACAGCTCGCTACTCTCCAACGTTTTAAGAGAAGCGGGGATTAGCAGACCGCTTGCAGAAGAGCAAACCAGGCTTTTGGGCTTGGTACCGTTGAAGACAAGTTTATCACACTTAATCATTGAGACAAACCTGTTAGTAATGATCATCATTATACTGCAGAAGAAACTTGAGAAGACTTGAGTAACTTCCAGAATTTAGGAGGCCGAGGCAGGATAGTGAACCAGTCTGGGCTACATGAGAAAATTAGGGAAGCTTCACGGTTCGAACCTGACCTCGAAGTACTTGTGGTCCTTTTCTCCCCGCTCCCCATTCCCTCATCCCCCCCCCCACCCCCGTCCTTACTTGCTCCCTACCGCACCTGTGCCAGGTGTTGCAGTGATTTACCTAATAGACTGGTGTGGCAGTATCTCTGAAGTCAAGCATTTTGCTTCTCAGATTACAACTTGTAAGTAATTTGTAATTTGCTACTTCCTTTGAAATGATTTGTAGAAGTGTAACTGCTAAACACGCCCAAACGGTTGTTTATTAACTGTGGTCTGCACCGAGCTTTCCTCGGAGTATCCTTATTGGCCACAGCAAGAGTGAATGGCAGTGCGTTTTTAAACCACCTTCTCTGTCTATAGGTCCAAAATCGGCATTGTTTTACACTGAATTATAACTGAAACTGTCTTTTTTTCTATATTGGAGAACTCTACCGTCTATAAAGTCTCATCGTTGCCTTTTCTCTTTTATAATAAATATTTACATTTATAAAATTTGTGTCTATGGGGGTATATGGAGACTAGAGGGCAACTTCCAGGATTCAGTTCTCTCCTTCCACTAGGTGGGTCTCTGACCCTTTACCAGGGGTCAAATGTCAGATATCCTGCATAACAGTAGATAAATTACAGTTATCAAGTAACAACGAAATATTTTTCTTCAAGTAACAACGAAATATTTTTCTTTGATTTTTCGGGACAGGATTTCTCTGTGTAACAGTCCTAGCTGTCCTCGAACTCAGAGATCTGCCTGCCTCTGCCTCCCAAGAACTGGATGGAATTAAAGGCCCCTGCTACCACCATCTGGCTGCAACAAAGTAATGTTATCCCTGGGGTCAGCCCTGCCTGAGGAACTGTAAAAGGGTCGCAGCATTAGAAGGTTGAGAACTTCTGCTCTAGGAACTCCCTTTGGGTTGTCCGGCACCACCTCCCTGGCCATCACTTGCTTTTTTTCTTTAAAAGAAAACCACAGCAGGACTAGGCAAGGTGCTGCACAGCTCTGATCTACGTACACACAGGGCAGAGGCAAGTGGAGCTCTGTGAGCTAAGAGGCCGGCCAGAGTAAGATTGGCTGTGTCAACAAATAAACAAAAACTTGTTTCACCTCTAGAACCAATATTTTTTGTTTGCTTTGTTTTTCAACATAGGGTTTCTCTGTGTAATAGTCCTAGCTGTCCTGGAACTCTCAGAGACCTGCCTGCTTTTGCCTCCCAACAGCTGGGATTAAAAGAGCAAGCCACTGCCCAGCCTAGAACCGTGTTTTATTTATTGCTGGTGATTTTGGTCTGTTTTTGGTCTGTTTTCTGAGCGCTACTGAGTGCTACAAAGTCTTTTTTGTTTTCCTGAGACAAGGTCTTATTTTGTAGTCCAGGATGGTATGAAACTCACTACGAAGCCCAAGTTGATTTTGAACTTGAGTGATCCTCCTGCCTCAGCCTCTCAAGTGCTGGGGATTATAGAAAGCCACCATGCTGGTGCATCAGAAAGATACCTTTCTTACTTTCAGAAAACAAAACATTTGATTTACTAGGCACAGTAATACAAACCTGTAATCAGAATACTTGAGAGGCAGGAAGATCACCGCAAGTTTAAGTCTAGCCTGGTTTATATCAGTTTAGGCTAGCAAGTGACCATGTCTCAAAAAAGTAACAAAAACCAAAACAAACGAAGAGTGTCTCTTTAAGTTAGAGCAATAATAAACTTGTTTTCAGAAAAGCGTAATGAACCACAAAATCTTAGAAATGGAAAGTTATTTATTTGCTGACCAGAGTCCACCTCGTCCATTTATACTTGAGGAAACTCTGGTGCAGAGCAAGCTGTTTGACTGTTACTAGGAAGAACTGAAGGGGCCCCAGAGTCCAGGCCATAAAGCATGAAAAGCCCTCAGGACAGTCAACCGTGTAAAGAAGAGAGTGTTGGGGACTACAAAGATGCTGTGCTTGAGAACAGGGGCTTTATTTACAATAATACTCAAACAGGATTTAGCAAAGGATACCTCTCCTCATTCCTTAGCAGCATGGGCTAGACTTCATGAACAAAAGAATATCCTGGGGGACAGGACATGAATTCTCTCCTCAGACATATTCTCCAAAGCCCGAACTTAGTTCCAAAGTCCCCAGCTCTGAGCAGTCTGACCAGGGGATTTTTCTAGCAGGTGAACTCAAACACCAGCATCCCATTGGGGTCCACAATCAGGAATGACTTCAACACTGGCCAGGTAAACTTCAGGCTTTCATCTCACTCATGGCTTCCATGAGGCGAGCACTGTTTGTAACAGCTGTTGTCAGAAAGATGAATCTGTACCCTAAGAGTCAAGACAAGCAGCAGAAGTGACTAAACACAGATCTTAGGTCCCAACAGAGCAAGTCCACAAGTTCCACAGTGCCCCAGGATCAGAACATAGGTTTACAGGCACAGAAACATCTAGACCCACCTGGGCAACAGAGTAAGACTCTATATCAGTAACAATTTCTTGGGTACTATAATGTGCCACGCCTGACGGGTCTGAGCTCCCCTGCCCCCTGCTACAGCAGGCCAAGGGACAGCTATGCAAGTGGTACCACAGCCAGGAGGAAAGCCGTCCTGTGCAGGGACTGTGTCCCCCAGGACCCATGCAGCCCTGCTCTTACCTTTCTATTCTCTTACCTTTCTCTCTGCCCAGAAACCGCAAGGCTGATATCTCCGAGAATGTGCAGCCCCCCAAGAACACTACCAAGATGAGGCGCAGGGACTCACTGGAAGCCTTGTCTTCCTTAGCCATGTCTGTGAAGGTCAGAGTAGAGTCCCATCGTCAGTCACACGCGGGTCCCAAGCACCAGCGCGGTGTCCAGCCTACCCCCCTGCAATCCCTGCGCCACTAACAATGCCACATACCTGTGAAGGCAAACTCAGTGCAGTTTAGCAGCCGCACCACCTCGTCGAGGCCCTGCCAGCTCCGCCGCTCCAGCACCTAGGAAGGTATACACACCAGTTTCAAGTCTGAGAGAAAAGTTTAGGAAAAGGAAAGGAATAGCAGCAAGACTCAGGTTTCTTGTTAGTAACCTGGGAAGTGAACTGGGATCAGCCAAGGACAAGAGGAAGCATAAAGAATGACATAGGAGTGGAAGCAGAAGTGACTCTTTCTCACCTGCTCAATGAGTCGGCAGCTCAGAGGCACATAGGCACCACTGAAGACATAAGCCATGTCTCTGGGCACTTTCAGGTCATACTCCCCGTCCACACGTGGGATCTACGGAGCAAAGGTACTGCATTAGGCAGCTCACAGCTCTGACCTTTTAAAGGTATGAAAAAATAGCACACTGGCCAGGCAATGTTGATGCACGCCTTTAATCCCAGCACTTGGTTCCAATTTTAGTATATGTGCTGCCAAAGCGAGCACAATCCCAGCACTTGGGAGGCAGAGGCAGGTGGACCTCAGTGACTTCAAGGCCAGCCTGGTCCACAGAACTGGTTCCAGGACATCTAGGGCTATTACACAGAGAAACCCTGTCTTGAAAAACCCAAACAGAACAAAATTAAAAAAACAAACAAAAAAAAGTAGCACACCCCAAGTTCACATTTTACCTAGAGGGAGCCAGCAAAGGCTTGACAAGACAAACCATTGCATTAAATACCTGCTTCTTCTTTAAGGGTCCCTCTGCTCCCTGTGAAGGCGCTGGGTGGAGGGCTCTTTTCCAGTTCCTCCCCTTCACAGAGAGCAGGGAGCCCATAATTCTCAGTGTTCCCTAGCACTGCCAGGTGCTTTACATGTTTATTAAACAGTGCTTCTTTACATTTGTTTCATGCTGTAAAGTTACCCAAGGACCTCCATAAAAATACCATTGGCTTAGCAGTTAAGGGCACTTACTGCTCTTACAGAGGACCTGGGTTCAATTCCCAGCACCTACAGGGCAACCCACAACTGCAGTTCGAGGGAATTTAACACTTTCTTCTGGGCGCCACATGCACTGGGCTATATGAAAGAAAACACTCAACACATGTAATAATTTTGTTTGTCTTTTCGAGACAGGGTTTCTCTGTGTAACAGCTCTGGCTGTCCTGAAACTCACTCTGTAGACCAGGCTGGCCTCAAACTCACAGAGATCTGCTTGCCTCTGCCTCCCCAGTGCTGGGATTAAAGGCACCACCTCCCAGCAAATAAAAATAAGGAGATGACTCAGTGGACAAAATCACTTGCTATAAAAGCACGAGGATCTGAGTTCAATTCCCCAGAACCCATGTAAAAGCTGGACCAACAGCACAAGTGCATTTGACCCCAGTGCCCTATGGGGAATTGGGAACAGACAGAATCCCAAAAGATAGTGGGCAAGCTAGATTGTCCTACACAGAGAAAAAACAACCAAGACTTCATCTCAAATGAGGTGGTAGATGAGGACTGACCCTGGGGT